TAAAGTTTTATATAAAAATTAAATAATTACTTAAAAGCTTAATTAAATAATTAACTAGTATAATAGCTATAATAACTACTTAATTTATAAACTTTTAGCTTTTAAATAATTCTACCCCTTATAATTAATAACTTTAACGTGCAAGGGGTAGCGTAGTATTTTATAATATAAAGCCTAATAGCCTGGTACCTAGTAGGGCGTGAGCGCACCTAGCAGAAAAAGTAAGCCCGCCGAGCATTCACCTCGGTAGGTTCAAATGGTTGGTCTGTGGTTCGCGGTGTAAATGCGGGGCGTTTTCGATCGCAACCAACCAGAAGTCGGCGCAGCACCGAAGCCTGCTGTACATTGATGCGTTTCGACAGTTGACCTGTCGTGGGACGAAGAGCACCGGAGACTATACATAATTGACAGACTCTCTACACCATCAATTTTCCAAACATGCCAACTTCTCAAGAATGCCCATGCCGCACAGCACACCATGCGGACGTCGTCAACATTTTTCTTGCTTACATCTATCGTCAGACCCCGACGCGTCACGGCCCCCATCGAAGAAACAAAGATTAAGGCACCCTAACTTTCCGCCAATAATATACTAGGAGAACTTAGCTAAATATCCCTACTCTAAACTGCACCTTATAAAAGAGGTATTACATGCTTTAGATAATATTAATAATGCCCGTCCTGTAAATTTAAGTCCCCTGAGACCTAGACAAAGCGAGCGACTAGCTTTCTGGGGGCCTTTTGATCTAATAATTGAGCGGCCAGCTTAGGAATCTCTCCGACGTAGCACTCTAAAATGTTTAAGAAAAGTTAAGCGATTTGCCTTACACGGCGGTCCAGATATTAGGGATTTAAGAGGGGTAAGCATATACTTATACCCATGCTTTACCAAGGCTGACTATTTATAGTATCCCTTTACTGGCCTAAAATACAAAATAAGCTCCTGAGAGTTGAGCCTTAGCCGCTAAAAACAAGGCTTTTAATCTTTTATTAAAAGAACTGCCACATAAAATATAATTATAATAAAAAGTGTAGGTTTATATAATACTAATTTCTAGTAATATTTAATTAACTATAGTATTTACCCCCCTAGATATACTTATCTAGATAGTAGTAAGCTGTAATATCTGGATAATATAGACAAAATTAAGCAAGCTCTAGGCTGCCTAAAACCCTTTCTTTTACTTTTATAATTTTTAGATAGCGCGTTTAATTCGTTTTAAAATGTAGATATAAATGCTACTAAAAAGGTATAGGTTATAATAAGAGTAATTCTAGTTATTAAAGGGAAGTTAAAAGATCCTAAGTTTATATTAGGGTAGATTCTATTTAATAATCTTAATTACTTAACTAATAGCTTTCTTATAGCTAGGAACCTAGATATATACTACAAAGCATAGCCTAAATAGCTTTAGCTATAAGTATAGAAGTAACTAAGCGGTATAATTAAACCTTTAACCTAAGATCAGCTGCTTATAGCACTAAACTTTTTTTTATACGTAAAGGGTTCTAATAGATTTTTCTTAGTTACTTCTTGTTACGACCTAGCCGCAAGCTACAGTGTAGGTTACAAGAGTAGGCCAAACTATATAAGCTACCACATAGTATAAGTAAGAGAGACTATAAAATAATAGTTAATATAAGTTATTAGTAAAAAGGTACTTATTATATATAAAGTAAGTAATATAAGTAATTATAATAAAATTAATATAAGTAATATTATTACTTATATTTAAGGTAAATAATTATTATAATATATAAAAACCCTTAAATTTACTTTATAAATAAACTTTAACTTTTTAGCTTTTAATAATAATTATTATATTAACTTAAGCTTTACTTATAACTTTTTAACTTTAATTACTTAATTATAATTTATAACTTATTATTAATATAAAACTGCTTAAATTAATTACTTTAGTTATTTTACTAATATAAACTATAACTAGTTTATCCCTTAGGAACCTTAGCCGTTACAATTTATCGTGGCCAGAATAGCACCCTGTAATTATATAAAGTAATACGTCTTGTGATACTAACAGGAGACTGTAGTTCTCACAAACGGGATAGCAAGCTTATCAGCAAAAACGTCTTTGTTATTCATTTTTATTAAAACCCAGTCCTAGATATCCTTCATGTACATATTCTCCATCCACTCATCAGTCGTGAGGTATGAGAGCCGGGAATTCATAGCTTTCACATTATCACTTCAAGATGTTTTCTTGTCATTGCCGTAGGCTCTGGTGGCATAGCTGCCCTTGTGAACAATCAAGTCCTCGGGACGGTAGTCATGCTTGCCGCTCAAGTAGCTTTGAAGAATAGCCTTGGTACCCTCGGCATAGCGCTTCTGAGCATCAAGCGAAGTTCCAGACATGTGGGGGACCATGGCGTTGCCACCTCCAAACGGGTTCTTGGCGGTTCGCAGTGGGTGGTTCGGGGCGGCGGGCTGAGGGTACCACACATCACCGCCGTAACCGGCTAGGTGGCCAGACTCGAGGGCCGCGGCGACGTCTTTTGCCACAATAATACCGCCACGGGCAGTGTTGATGAGGTATGAGCCTATAATTGTTAGGTTAGTATACGTAGACGGCCTCAAGCAAAAATTTGGACGACTTGCCAGGCTTCATCTTGGCAATGTTGTCCTTATTAAACAGGTCTTCTGTCTCACTATGCAAAGGGCAGTTGATAGTAAGAACGTCACACCGTTCTAGCAAATCATCAAAGCTCACAAGCTCACAGCCGAGTTCTTCCGCCTTCTCAGTGCTCAGAGGCTGGTAGTCGTGGTAAAGGAGCTTGCAGTTAAACGGTTTGAGTCGTCGCAAAACGCGCTCGCCGATACGACCGACACCAAGGGTACCAACGACCTTGTTCTCCAGGTCATATTCCTGCTTGGCGACGGCCGCAACATCCCAGTCACCTCGCTCCACCTGCTCGTGGGCGGGGACAAAGTTTCGAATCAATACCAAGATGGTCATAACAACGTGCTCAGCAACAGAGACGACATTACTGCCAGTGACTTCGGCGACCGTAATACCGCCATTAGTCTTGTTGGCAAGGTCAAGGTCGACGTGGTCTGAGCCGATACCCGCAGTGATAGCGAGCTTCAGCTTCTTAGCCTTGGGAAGGCGATCTTTTTTCAGGTAGCCAGGGTGGAAGCTGACCATTGTCAACAAAGTTGTCCTGACGAATGAAATTGTAGGAGACCTACGGCGTGGTAATGATAACTTCGGCATCTACAAGTTCCTGCTCGAACTTGGAATCGACACCCTCCTTGTCTGATGTGGTGACGAGAGTGTGGCCCTGGTCCTCGAGCCATTTCCTAAGGCCAAGTTCATTCTCAGTCGTACCAAGAAGTTCAGGAACCTAGCGATTGAGAGAAAACCAGATGCGCGTTAGCGTTGCACTAGAA